TGGTGATTGAATTGGTTCTCCAGCTGGTCTGAGGGTTGGTGGCTGGAAGTGTTTCATTTATCGTTTGTATCCTTTGTTGAATGTTTTATTATCAATATAAGTCTCCCTGTTACAAAAAATGCCCTAACCACGGGCGAGGCCTGATCGATCAACTAATAACTCCTCCAGAAGACAATTCAGTGATTTCTTATATCTTCAACAACTATTGATAAAAAACCATTTAATCTCCTTTAATATTATCATCAAAGATCTAGCTAGAGACTTGGACCTATCATGAACTTTCAATCACAAAGTTCTTACAATACGTTTAATTTCTCTCATTTAATTTAAATTGATCGATCATATATCATGTATCGACTAATCGACGTATGTCATTGTTAAATTGATAGGTCACATTTTTAATTAATTTATGGTGTGTATTTTTCTTTATCATATCATGCGCATATGTATAAGTATATAACTCGTATTAAGTTAAACCTACCATAGCTAATACAGATAGCCAGTGCCTTTCAATTCATTTGAGAACCCCTTCAAGCCACGTTAACAATCACATTCAATGATTTCAAATTAAAGACATTTTTTAGTCACGTAAACATGTGACAATCTTTACCAATAGCCCACAGAAATATTTTTTAGTCTCCAATCAAGTAGCATATATATATACTAGTAGTACGTAGTATATAATACTCGTGAACTAATTAACCGCCATGCCTGTATCCATATATCTATAAATACAAGAAAACTCCAAATCAAGAAACCAATAATACACATTTTTTCGAGGTTCACATTTTGCCACTTTATCGAGCTAGCTAGCTCACAACCATGGCACCCCATGGAGAGTCATTGTTGAGGTCAAACCATACTACAAAGAACAACAACAACAAAAACAACGATCAAAATGTTATCAAACAACCTTTGATATCCAATGACAATCTTAAACGGACGGTTTCCGACATCTCAATGGTGCTGAGCAAAGAGGTCACCATGTCCACGTGCGGCCCGGGTAGAGACGCAAATCTACCGCCCATCATTGAGGTGGAAGGCACGAAATGCGAGTGCTGCGGGCTGTCAGAGGACTGCACCCCGCAGTACATAGCACGAGTGCGTTCGAAATTCGTAGGGAAGTGGATTTGCGGGCTTTGCTCAGAGGCGGTGAAGGAGGAGGAAGGGAAGAAGGGCGTCATAAGAGAGGAGGCTTTGAGCAGCCACATGAATGCATGCTCAAAGTTCAACAAGCATGTTAGGGCTCACCCGGTTCTTTACCAAGCGGAAGCCATGAGACAGATGTTGAAGAAGAAGAGGGCCGACAAAGCTATTAGGGCTAACAAAACCGTTCAAAACAAAGGTGTGGGGATAGCAAGGACTTCCAGTTGCATTCCGGCCATTACCGGTGACATCAAGAATGAGCACCCCCGCCGAGATAACAATTAAAGATATATATGCTTATCGATCGTATAATAAACATCATGAAGTACATACTACGGAGTATATATATTGAATGCATATATGAAAAAGTAGTTATTGTAATGTAATTAGTCTTATAACGAAAAATAATTTCTATTCCTGGAATATAATTAAGGATCTTTTTATTCAATTAATGATTTTGTTTATCAACCAAATGGTCCAAATATATAGCATCTAAGAAGTAAAAGTGAGCCTATATATATTAGGATGTTTTTACTTGGACTGAAATTTGCTGGCCTAGTTTGGTGCACTCTGTTTAAGTCCGGCCTGGTCTAATTTGTTCTGGTCTGGGAGTGAAAACAATCCAATTAAAAACATCCTTAGTCACATTTGAAAAAGTTAGGCACTGATGCATGGAAGCTAAATTTATGGCTAAGCTACTTGGTGGCTGAGGAAATCATTGGAGTAGTCAAGTTATTAGTAGGAGCGTAGCTAGGGGAGGGTCAACCCTGACCCTACCTGGCACAGCCCAAATTTAAAAGATGTGTATATTTTCAGTGTAAAAATTTCCGCGTAATTTTTTTATTTCGAACATATTCTTTGTATCGTCCCAGTCCAATCCAATACTCTGACTCCGCCCCTGGACTAATTATTAGTTACATTGAGGAGCGGACGTATCTAATAAGCAATGGGGCATAGGCCCCAATAACTTTGTCTTTTAGTTATAAAAATATTAGAAAATTATGCATTAAGGAGTAGTATCCCGAAAGCAAAAAAAAATGATGCCCCCATTAATATATCATACAAAAGAATCTGATTGCTTTATTTCAATGAATCGAGTGTATTTGCAAGTCTTCCGCTTCAATGGTGTATTTGCAAGTCTTTCGGTTCAAGGCTTTGATTGTGAAATCCCTAATGGTTCGAGGGCGAAATTGCCCCTTTTCGTTTGCAAAAAAACTAGTCAGTTGTTTCAAGGATCATACTAATCCTGTAATCCGAGTTAGATCAGTAATTGATGATACTACATCCAAAAATACACAAACAAACAACTATCATAATATATCGAACCCGTTTTTTAAATATCAGAACAGTCACTTAAATAGATTAGACCAAATAAATCAGACAAAATATTAGTTTTATTAAAAATATTCAGAGTATGAGATCGTTACAACCCATTTAACTAAGCTAGCATAAAATTTCGGTATTTTATTAAGTTTTTATTTGGAGTTAAAAAAGAAGTAGAATATGTATGGATAAGCCATAATGCCATTAATTCAATTTAATGCTTATACCTTATACTCCCTCTGTAACACAAAACTTGCCTAATTTGACGTTTGTTGGTGAACGATAATAAATTTTCAATAATGATTTTAATTATTATATTTTCATGGAACTTATAATTTTTTGTACTTTTAACAAAAATATTTTCATAGAAGTTTCATATTTTATATTATCATTATCGGTCAAACTTGTATATTTTATGGAACTTGACCATCATTGATCAAGAAGAGTCAACATGACCAAGTTTTATGTACGCAAGGAGTAATTTTAATAGAAAATCAAATCAACCGGCAAGCGCCTTCATTGGCTGCCTGGAAAATGGTGGGCAGAGGTGCATGTGCGGCGGTGGCGGCGGTGGTGATCGGGGGGCAGGGTAGTCATTGGGGGCAGAGTGACGGAGGTCGATCACAACCCAGGCGGTGAGGCTGGCCGGGCTAGTCAAATTTCGCGTCAGCCACTAATTAGAGTGGTGACAATCATTGATCGGGTTGTTCATAGTCACTGGTCAGGTTGGTCACTAGTCGGATTGGTCATAGTGAAAGGTCGGGTTAGTCACTAGCTAGATTGGTCGTGATCACTAGTTGGATTGGTCACAGGTTGAATTGATTATGGTCACTAATCAGGTCTGGTCGAAGTATTATTTATTGACAAACCTCAGATTCAATTATGTTTCATACATCACACGAATGAGTGACTCAGTATAGTATATTTAATATGGATCGAGTGTTTTGATAGTCATGTAAAACTACTGAAATATATGGACGAAACAAAATTAGCTAATTTCATCTATTTATCTACTGAAATAAGGGTTTAATGCATCAAACCTTCTCATGATATATAAATTCGGCTCATTACACTTCTTTGATTTAAAAAATGCAGCAAACCCCCCGCGTTATAATTATTTGCTCGCAAAAATCCCTTCAAGAACAAATTTAATTGCCTAATAAATAAAAATGATTAGTATTTTTGCATAATTTAGAAATTTTGACAAATTTACTTACATATTTAATCATAATATTGAGACAAATAATCTTCAAATTGTTGAATTTGCTATTGAAAGATGTTTTGCACATAAATAATTATAGCATATGAGAGTTTGAAGCATGTAATATATCAAATGAGGTTTGATGCATTAAACCTAGTAAAATAACAAATCCATGACCTGCCTATTAAGGGGCCGTTTGGTAACGGCTGAAATGGCTGAATAGACTGAAATTGCCGAATCTGCTGAAGTGAAAGTATTTGATAATATATTGGCTGATTGAATGTAAAATTACCATAAGGGTATCTTATGTATATACGTCGAAGGGTTTACAGGAGGCTAATGTTTTCATTTCTTAAAAAAACACTAATGCTTAATTCGTAAAAAAATTATCATGCCAATTCAACAACTCCTAGACCTTCTTTTATACGTAGTAATTGTCTTAGGATGTTTTCTTTTGGACTGAAATTTGCTGGTCTGATCTGGTCTGGTTTGATCTGGTCTGATCTGGTTTGGTAAACGTCCGATCTCTGTGTATTTTATATTTTTATAACTACGAATGTCTGGTCTGGTATGGTCTGATCTGGGACTGAAAACAGTCCAAAAGAAAGCATCCTTATTATATTTTGTTCTTAAGAACTATCAAGAACAAATAACATCAAACAATTCAATTAAAGATAATATTGAGCAAAGCTTAGAAACAGGCATCCAAGAACCTTCTCACAACATCGATTTATCAACAACTACAAATAATCACTACAGAATAATCAACTACTACTAGTAATCATTGTCATATATTTTGGGAAGAAATAAGAGTGTGAGTGGGTCTGGGAAGAATTGAAGAAGAAGAGTCTTCGCTTTGGACATGTAGCACCGTTTACCTTCATGAACATGGAGCACTTGAGTAAGAGTTTTCAATCGAGTGGATGAATATGTTAAATGTCAATTTTGGATCTCGAGCAACGGAAGATGCATTCCGGGCACAATAGAAAGGTAAAGGAGACTTTGCAATAGACAATGATAAAATAATAAATATCAGCTCAAGAAGTAAGCATAAACTAGTTTTTTCTGGTGATAAGAAAAATCAGCCATAACAGCCAATTTCATAGGTTTGGCAATTTTTATGCATTTTAAGGCTTTTCAGCCCATTTGTTAAGCTTCAAACGCCCCCTAAAGCTGAGCCCAACCCCATTCAAGCTGAGCCCATTAAATCTGAGCCCAAGCCCATTAAAGCTGAGCCCATTCAAATTGAGCCCACTCAAGCTGAGTCCAACCCCATTAAATCTGAGCCCATTCAAGCTGAGCCCAACGCAAAATCCATTGTTTCGTACTTTCGTTCCTTTCTTTGATACAGCATCTCACAATTCCCTCACCAGGAACTTTTTGAGTTTCCGACGCAAAATTCATATCTGCACTTCGAAAAATTCAATATAGCAATTGAACATATTCACTTACAGGTGTATGATAATTTCTCTCCTTTGTTTTCTGATCATTTTGTCTAGTAAAAGATTAGTCTTTTTTATCTACAGTATGTGTACACAATGGATGAACGGCGTAATTCTAATGTGATTGGAAATACTTTTTTGTCCCATATGCATGAGTTCATGCTTCTAAAATGGTTTTCCGTTTCTTCTAAAGTTCAATTTTCATTGCATTCGCATCATTGGCCATTGAAAATTGATTCTTGCCAAGCAGCCTCTGCAGAAGATATTTGAATTGGCGCACTCTTAAGTTAATGTAAGTGAAATTAGATCATAATTTTTTAGGCAAGGAAACTCAATAACACTCCATAAATATACACAATAGATCTTTGTTTAGCTGTTAGGGAGATGTCATTTTTACTTTTGGAGTCATAAAATGAGGATATTTAATACTTCGAATTACATAGATGTCAAGGGACTAAGGGAGGTACCTTGGCCTCAGTATTTTCTTCTACAGATTTCTCTTTTTCATTGTTCTTCATATTTTCCTTCTACGTGGCCTTTATAGTTTTCATCTTTTGTTGTTTCTTCATTTGTTCTATTTTTTACTCTCTCATTGCTCCACCAGATTGACATCCTCATTTTCTCTACCATTAGAGCTTTGTAATCCAGGCAGAGCTGCTGCTCTTTTTTGTTCCTCCGCCATATCCGTGGCAGATGCCATCACTCCATAGCCCAGACCCTCCTCATTTTTGAAGATTAATACTACCTCCGTCCCATTTATATTGGGACGGAAGAGGATGGCACGGTTATTAAGAAAAGTGGGTTTGTGTGGTTGATATTAATTGATAAAGTAAGAATAAAATAAGAATGATTTAGAGCCACACAAACTTTGCCAAATATGGTATGTGGCAATTTAAGTGGGACTTCTCGAAAAGGTAAAACGGGACAATATAAATGGGACGGAGGGAGTATGTGCTAGGCCAATCTGTTCTTGGTATTTCTTAAGCTCATCTTTGACACAATTTCAGTGTGATCTGTTGATTTCATACAGTAATCTAACATGCCTCTTACTATAGTGTAGTTATTGATTATGATTCATGGACGTGAATCTACCAATTTTCTCGAACTGATATAATCACCTCTATCTCTTGCTCTGAAGTTTTCTTAGCATTACATTTTTTCTTTCATTTGTTGGCTGTAGTTTGCAAAAGGCTACTTGCTTGTTTTTTGTAGATCAAGAATTCGAGGGGATGTTTGAAAAACTATGATTCTTCCTGGCCCTTTTCATCTTGAAGCATTTATACCTTAATTATCTACCTGCCTGAGATTTTTTATTACTTCTGAAATTTTAGCCTACTTTTATAAAGATTTTGCTGGTATAGATGCAACTCTGTAATACAATGCTAATTAAGCATTTAAGCCTTGCATTGCTTAATTCTTTCGTAGTTTCGTTGGTTTTACTTTTAAAAGGATATTTAGTTGTTTAGGAATTGTTTTATTACCCATTTCTGTGTGGTCAATTTTGAACATCTTTTGTATTTTCATGCATTATTAATATTTCATTTATTTCTGAATATGAATAAGTATGAAATAAAGGAATATCATAATGTGTCTAAGTTACTCAAATCCATCATTGTAGTGATAATGTGATATACTTGGGTTTGGCACAAGTTTTAAGAAAATAAAGGAGAAGGGTTGTTTTTTTAACATTCTAACCTCAAAAATTACAAAAAAGTAGGATTAGTCCACAAAAAGTAAAAGGTGAAATGATAGTTAAAGGGATAAAGTAGGAAAGTAAAAAGTTAGTGGGGTTTACCTTAGAAAAGTGATCATATTTTTGGGACAACCCAAAATGGAAAGTGTTTCTTACAAAATGAGACGGAGGGAGTAGTTGTTTCTGAACTTTCACGTACTCGAAAAACTTTGAGGGTTTTTTCTTTCTAGGGTAAAAGGTTCTTTTCTTTAGCTAGTTTTGAGTATAGAGTGAACATTTTATTGCAATAATAAGTAAGAATTGGCCAATGAGATGAATATCTTAATTTGTCTAAGTCACTCATTAAGGAAAGAGTAATACTATCTTCAGAAATCTGAACACTACTCCAGGCAGTGTGCAACTCTTCCCAGACTTGTGAGGGTCTACTATTTTAAAACTGTTTTTTTCGGCAGTACTTACTTAACAAGAGAAACACATGATTGAGTGTTTTTGAAAAAAAATGGAAGCATTTTTAAAGGGATGGAAAAACAGTGATATTGGAGTTATAAGGTACTAGCCCCCAAAACTGATTTTGCTTATGACTTTTATTTTTAAAATGTCCTCAGATTTTATCCCTCCGAACAACATCAGATTCCTCTCTCTGCTGTTTCATCTTATCTCATCTTCACCGATTTTTGCTGCTCACTGATACAAAAATGTCAGCAGTGGTCTCCTCCTTCGTCGTCGGTCCCAAAAGCTTACACACTTCTGGTTTGCTTCTTCGATATTCTCATCGGTCATGCGTTCAATATGTGTTTTGTATAGTTATTTGACAATGGTTTTTTATTTTATTTGTGTTTCTCTATCTCTTTGATTTTTAATGCTTTTTGTTCACCCTGTGAGCAACAGGATTTTTCATGTGATTACTCATTTGGGTTGGCATCCTGTGTTTACTTTGACACTGTGCATTTTTTAAATCACGTAGGTTAAGAGTAGAAAGTGCCTCATCTACTTTTCTTGGGTTAACTCCTCTGTCCAAAAGCCAGCCGTATTTACTTCTTAGGGGGGGTAGGTTGAAGACTACCCAATTAGATTCTAACCGCTGCATAGTAAATATTTTTTCATAAAAAGAAATGTATTTCAACCTTATAATCAAGTGGACAACTTCATGGATTATTTTTTTCAAGCACGTTTGGATTTGGGTGCTTTGTTACTCTGTAATATCAACAATGTTGCGAAATTGTGCAACAAAACCCTGAACAATAACTAAGACTCAGTGTAATTGCTGAAAAATAAACTGTTGTAAGTTTGTAACATTATTTTCTGGGATACAAATGGATGTATACTATATACGTAGTATGATATCATATTAACACAACATAAATAAGCAAAAGTAAGCATCATGAAAATGACATCTTTTTTTATGAAGTCATTTTCCACAAAGGTAAACCATATATTTTTCTACAAGGATATGTTCTGTCCTGCTCCTAAACACACAAAAAGCTGGAAAATATTTTAGTTCTCCAAAGTGCAGGAAAAAAGTTTTGAACTGCGTAGGAAGGAGATGTTCTGTGTTTGCGGTCAGTATATTCATATTGCTTTTTTACCATCGCCTTCAAGTTTGTGTGTGTGTTGGTGTGTTTGGCAAAAACTATTTGCAAAACACAAATGAATGGGCTAATATGCGCCATAGTTGTTTGTCAAAGATCCACCTAGACTTTGAGAAGTGTGTCATAGGATTGGTATTACTTGCACACACAGTTCATGCATAGTCGGTAATTTTGTTTTGGGACCAAATTTAGAGTTCTAGCTGAAACTCAAACTAGAAACATGCTCACTAGAGCTAATCAAGAACCTTCAGATGTTTAAACCCCAGTTTTCTGTTTATATTCCCCTATCATTTTGGTAATAATAAGTTGACTAATCCCATTAGAAGAGTAACTGAATCTTATTTATTCTTTTTATTAAGAATCCATTTATAAACCATAAAGAGTAGGGAAAGAAATTTGAAAGTAAAGAAATCTAAATCCCATCACTGAATTTTTTTTAACTGAATAAATAATTTTACATATACTCTGAACTCATTTCATGTATATACTTGCACTGTATTATATAGACACAAAATCTAAATACATGCAAATTATTATGAAGTTTTAATCAAGTTGCATTTCCCTTTTTATTTTAATAGGTTAAAGATAGATTAAACAAACTTATTTTTTCTTTGCACTTGTTCCCTTTTTCTACCACTTTAAGGGTTCGATCCATATAGCCTAATGGAGTGTAAAACTTATATGGAAAAATTTGTGGGAGGAAATTTTAGATAGAGTCATTTTTGTGTGTAGTTGGAACAGTGGACAATCATTGAATGTGTGCTTTGTGTGTGCAAATTGCTGCATCTCTTTTCTCTCTGCGCAAGATGCATTGGGTTATATTTTTTTTATTGTTCATTCCTGTAAATGAGGTAGACACGAGATTAAAAAGAAAATGACATAAATTATCAGGATGAGTAACAAAAAAATGTAGGACTTAAAACAAAATATGATATGTTTGCATAGACAAGAAGCCTATCTCATCTTTAATGATTTTATCACTATGCAGATCTATCAAGTAAAGGAACACAATCTATTAGAACAAAAACTTTTACGTGCAGAAAATGCATATTAAAGCGAGCAATTAAAGTATCATGTGCTCACAATGGTGAACAAGAAAGAAGACATGTGGTCAAAATGTGTGGCATCACATCAGCCAGAGACGCGGCTTGGGCGGCAGAAGCTGGTGCAGACTATATAGGCATGATTATATGGCCTAACTCAAAGCGTTCTGTTTCACTCACGGTAGCAAAGGAGATTTCTAAAGTTGCTAGGAGATATGGAGCAAATCCTGTTGGGGTGTTTGTAGATGACGATGCTCATACCATACTTAAAGCGTCTGATGCTGCAGGCCTTGAATTGGTTCAGGTAAATAACACTTTGATATTGATCACCTGCCTTCTTGAATTACTCGGGGTGTGTTTGGATTGGTTGAGGTAAATAAGTCATTGAAAGGAAAGAAAGCAAAAATATAATTTATGTTTGGTTTTTCCTTGGAAAAATGCAAAACAGAATTGAAATATGATTAACATTTATTTGAATGTATTATATTTAGATTTCTTTAAGAAAAATAGACTTAAACAAATGAAGTGAGTTTCAATAAATGTCTAAAATAATTGTTTTTTAGTTTTAGCCAATCTTCTACTTTGCCCCGTATTTTTTAGTATTCTTTCACATTATCTTTCCGCAGATTTTTCTGGATCTGAACGGACAGGACCCTTAGGATATCTTCAGATTGGTTCTTGTAAATGATTCTCAGCACTGTAAAAAAAATGGACCGTTATTTCCTGTTCAGGTTTACCTTGGAAAATGAAAAGGAAAGTGAAAATGTGAAATACATTAGTTGTTATATTTTTTGTATACCTCTGTTTAGATCTTCTAAACCTTTATATGATAAAAAATATAATTTGATCAAATATCTATGTATCCAACTGACCTTTACTTGCTCTTCATCGCATAACTTGGAAATGCAGCTTCATGGGAATGGTTCACGAGTTGCTCTTCCAATTCTGGTGAAGGAAAAGAATGTAATATATGTTCTTCACGTGAATGGGGATGGAGAACTTTTGAACTCGATTTCTGATGAAGAGTCACCATTGGTTGATTGGGTTCTAGTTGATAGTGCCAGAGGTGGCAGGTATCCCTCTATGCTTTTCCTGTGCTCGCAATGCTCATTCATCAAGCAAATTTAAATTTTTACACCTTATAAAGAATGAAACAAGGTAGAAACTTAAAGGGAGGTAGTAACTCTCTGGGTATGCTTGGGAGTTTGGGGGAGGGAAGGGAAGGTTTTAAAGGTTCGCTGTAGGAGGGTAAGGGAGAGGGAATGAATAAAATCTTTCTTGTTTGGGAGTTATAAATTTGGAGGAATTATAATTAAACCGTATCATGGGTATGAAGTTTTAAAATAGTTATAACTGTATTAAATTTAAATTCAAAGAAAGTTGTCATTTAATTAGTTATGCTTCGAAACCCACCAATTTAGGGAAGCTTAAAAGTTGAGCATTTGAAGGATTACAACATACTCCAAAACATAAGAATGGAAGGTCATACCCCAAAATTCTAGTTGATCAAAGGAAAATATATATATTTTCCAGTTCTTCTTGTGTTTGGCTTGCAGAAAAAATACTGTCAAATCGGAAAAGGTATCTGGTTAACTCTGCATTTTCTGTAAAAGTTAATCTTTTCTTTGAAGGAGTTGATCCATTTCATGATATTGTGTGTGTATTAAACATGATTGTATACGTAGAGCATTTACATTCCACGAAAAAGTGTTTTTTTACAATAGTTTAGTATTCATCACTCAAACAGAGCCTAGATTCTGTTTGAAATTCCAGTGTACTAAAATCCAAACGTGCTTGATTTCTTTTATAACGAATTTGTCCTTGATTAAAAGCTCACCAGACATTTTATCTTTTTGTGAAAAAATATTTACTTTGCAGCGGTAAGGGATTTAACTGGGGAGTATTTAAGATACCTCCTATCAGAAGTAAACATGGATGGCTTTTGGCCGGAGGGATTTACCCGGGAAATGTATGTGAAGCTCTCTCTACGCTTAGCCCACATGGAGTTGATGTCAGCAGCGGAATTTGTGCTCCTGATGGCATTCAAAAGGATAAGTTACAGATAACTTCCTTCATGAATGCAGTTAATTCTCTTTCAATTGTTAGTTGATATTAGTGCTAATCTTGGATATAAATTCTGGATAAGAGTACAAAATTTTCTAAACATCTGCGTGTTAAAGAACTTCATAGTTTGATTTGAGTAAATAGTTTGAGTAACACCAAGGCTATGTTTGGTGCAACTAGTTGGTGCAACTAAGGGTTATTGTCCGAATCAGAGACTATTGTATGGAGCTGAACATTGAAGTGCTGAATCTAAATTACCAATTGAATGGAGTAGACTCCTTTGGAAAAAAGAGTTGAATGATGACGGAAAGGTATAAAATTACATTAACGGACATACTTCCTCGTCCCAAGTTGATTTTACAATGTATATGGTCTGAACCACAAGTCTTTTCGTTCAGAGTAATTGTTGATGATATTAGAGATTTGTCAAGTAAATTTGCTAGTATTACCTTTTCTCACGTGCGGTAATGAGCGAATTGAGTAGCCCAGAAATTGATAGGGGTTTATTAGAGATTTGCCAAGTAAATTTGCTAGTATATCCTTTTCTCACGTGCGGAAATGAGCGAATTGAGTAGCCCAGAAATTGATAGGGGTTTCTGCTTCTATGTCTGATAGCTAATTTGGGTTACTTATACCCCATCTTATATTGTCATCTATTTAAACAATGAAATGCTTAATAATAGTTTTTGTTTCTGTAAAAAAAAACATATTTAGATTCTATATTAAAATATCTACAAAGATGCAAAATCGAGTTAGATTATAATTAAAAAAGATATTCTAATTGAGTGAATAAAATGAAACTGTTTGACAAAAAAGTTGACTTTGCAAATCAATTTGGAAAGAAGGTACTATAATTTTTTCCCTTTTTATTTTCATGTGTTTATATATGTTTTTTTTTGCACGAAAGTTGTGTATGACCTATAATGTTTTAATTTATTAATAGAGAGAATACTTATTAGGGGTTTGTCCATAAATAATACAAAAATAAATGCTATGGACAAATATAGGGCCACTTTTAAAAAATTCCAAAAAAGAGACTAAACTCCTACTAGTAACAATGACCAATCCGAGTACTGACTAACATGCCCATGACCAATCTGATCGTGACCAATTTGAGCGTGACTAATTCGATCATAACCAATCCGACTAGTGACCAACTCGACCAACGACCGTGACCAATCTGACCAGTGACTAACCCGACCAATTACAATGATCAATGCAACCAGTGACCAACCCGACCAACGACTGTGACCAATTTGACCAGTGACCAACGACCATGACCTACTCGACCAGTGACCAATCCAACCTGTTGCCATGACCAATCCGATTAATGACCAACGCAGCCACTGCCGCTCTCGACCACCCCGACCACCGCAGCCCCGACCACCACCAACCACCGCCGTCCAGGCAACCACCCAGCCCAGTGATGGCTGCTGCCGCCCGCAAGTACACCCTCCTCAGCCTCTCCCCTGCTCCCTCCCTGCCCTCTCCCCTGCCCCCTTCCCTGCACCTGCCCCTGTCCCTAGTAACTTTTGCAATTCCCTTTAGCTCCCACCCAAGCCGCCGTAGATGCTGGATCTGGGCCGTCCTACTGTCGTTCGTCGTCCTCGTCGTCAATCTTCGACAGTCGCGCATCGGCATCCATGGCAAGTCATCGTGACTCGTCGCCAGCAATTCCTAGCCGCAAGTCTTCATCGTGTATCTCCGGTGGTCGGCCATCGGAGATGCTCCAGAAAAGAAACGAGAGGAAGATGATAGATCTGCAGCGTCCGAGCGCGGTGCGAAGATAAGAGAAGTAGCGGTGGCGGCACTGTTTCTCGACGAAGATGGCGGCACTGTTGCTCAATAGTGGCAGCAGCGCGGTTGCTTGATTGCGGCAGCGGCAGTCTGGAATGGCCATGGAGCAGGTGCAAGTTCTTCGGTCTAGCTAGGCCTGATGAACTTTTGCAACCCCCTTTAGCAATCCCCTTTTGCTTCCGTCCATAGGTATTTCTTCCGTCTAGACGTAGCGTACATGTCTGTTTTTTGTCCTTCCCAAAAATGATTCTATTTTTGTCCAATCAAATCTCTCAACTCTTATTTTTGTCATTTTTCTACTTATTATGGGGTATATTTTTTATATTCTAGAAAATAATAAAATGTGATATACGGAGTATGCGGGTACGTAAATATACATATACATACACACAATGACACAAATATGTGTTTGTATATGCTATAGTAGTTTCCCGTTCTTGTTAGGAGCTCCTGATCGGAACTACTGTGCGGAATTCTCCTATTGAGGTGTTTCTGGTGATATTTTTATGAAAATTTGTCAGCATACTCCCCATGAAATGTAGATTATGCTCATCGAATTTTATCTTATTATTCAATAGAGAAGTCAATCAAATAAGTATTTGAAAAGCATTGCACTTTTTATATATTTAAAAAGTGAAGTGTTTTTCAAAAATTTACTTAACAGACTTCTTGATTGAATTTTAAGCTGAAATTTGGTGGACATAATTTACTCTTCATTGAGAACGTGCTCACAAATTTTATCAACAAATTTCACCGGGAAGAATTTCAAATTCAGTACGGAGGTTCTGGTCAGGAGCTCTTGGTATGACTGCCATCTACGGAGTACTAAATATTGAATATAATTTTTTTACACCAATAAATCAAGCATTTTTCCAGTCCAAGCTCATTTTAGCATTTTATCCTCACAACATTAATTATATAATAATTGATTGGATTTCAAATATTCTAGCATTTTATCCTAATAACGCAGCCTTATTTTTTTTGTTGGGCGCATTGAAGCTCTTTTTTAGTGAGAGTAAATATTAAGGGTTTTTCATTAATATTATTAAATTTTAAACGTTTCCAAAAAAACTATACTACACTAGTACACTTACTCAGGTCGACCAACTACAGTTACTCTCAGCCCTATAGTTACAACTACTTGACTTGACCAATTATAGTTACCCAATCCAACCAATTATAGTTACTTGATCAGATCAATCACAATTATCTGACTCGATCAATTACAGTAACATGGATTACCCTATTACAATTACCCGAATGGATCAATGATAGTTACCCGGTCTGATAGGACCTTTGCTAGCCGCCGCCATTGCATACCGCCGTTGTGGACCACCGCTACCTTCAACCCGTCTTCGGTGGTTGAATATGGTTGTGTACAATTTCATTGTGGTTGAATATGGTTGTGTACAATTTCATTTTTGTTGTGTATCACTAAAAGTTACAATGACCATTTTGTATACTCTCTCCTTGTCCCTTAAAACTTTGCCAATTTTTCTTTTTTGGATGTCTCACTAACTTTGTCACTTTCCTCTTTAAGTAAAGAATTTGTGGTTCCAGTTAATTCTCTTTCTTCTGCACAAACCTCAATCACATAATTTTTACCTTATTAATCTTCGTGGCGGTCAAACTTGGCGAAGTTTTAAGGGATGGAGGGAGAAAAAGTTACATTTTAATTCATAATCATTATTTTAGTCAAAGCACAGTCACTATTTCCATTAATTTTGGTCAAGTTTAGTCCCCAATACGGGTAATAAAATGTAGAAATTATAAAATTGGACCGGTGTACGTAGCTGGACTTACAGATAGGGGGTGCTACAATGAATTGTTTTGAGTTCAAATCCCGGCAACTGCAATGGAAGATTACTATGTAAAATTGCATAGAGTCTGGACAGGACCGGCTATATGGGGAAGACACTTAGGCATATGTCTAGGGCACCAAGATAATGCGGGGCATCATTTTTTTGGAAGAAGGTGGATTATATTACAATAACAGAGCGTAAGCAGGTTACAAAAAGACAAAAAGTTCACTGTCTATCGTTCGTCATTGAATCAGACTTAGAACATACCACCTCCGAAAAAGCAATCACATTCGATATATCTATGAACTTATACTACGTATAATTTGTTACTTTTAATCAACTATGATCTCCGTCCCACTAACATTGAGAGATGTGGAGATAACACGATTATTAAGAAAAGTAAATTTACGTGATTGGTATGTAATTGATAAAATAGAAATAAAGTAAGAATGATTTAGAATCACACAAACTTTATCAAATTTGTTATGAGACAATCTTAGTGGGACGGATCGAAAATGAAAGATGGGACAATCTTAGCGAGACGTAGGGAGTACTATATATGGAGTACATCACTAAGGTTTAAAACATTACTGACTAAGAGCCCAATTGGTAACCATGTTTTTCGACTTATCAGTCATTTTTTCACAAAACACGTAACTTTTATTCTCGCCCGTAGAGTTGTTTAATGATAAGAAAAAGTAAGGTTGAAGTTACTTTTATGACTGTATTGGCTGAAGTTACTGTAGATGATCATTTTATCTATGTTTCTTTATTTTATTAATAAAACATAATTTAAATATAATTTTTATATAAATGAGCAGAATCAGTCAATCCAGTCATTCCAGTCAAAATTTCATAAGTTTCAACATAATCAATCGATTTTGCTTATTTTAGTATTATCAAACGGACTCTAATACTGTATAAAAATATGACTTTAGTTTGACTAGACTAGGGAACCAAACCAACTAAAAATGGTCTGAAAGCACCCGAGCCAATTCCTCACTCACTATTTGTCAGTTTATAATTAAAGTTCAACTTACATCTGAGTGACATCCGTTTTTAGAAATGGTAAAATGTGTGTTTATATAGAGAAAATCAGAAAACAACTAAACAGATTAATAAAACTTAATGAGTGATGCATAATTAAACAAGGATGTAGTGGCCTGGCACGGTCCGCAACTCCACACCCATGCAATTTTCTTGGTCCAACTTCTAGCGCCATTCGGCTCATGCACATCACACATTGGGGTGTTTGGCAATCAGCGGTTGACTGTTAGCTGTTGACTGGTTGTGTTAGCTGTTGCCTGGTTGTGTTAGCTGTTGGCTATTAGCGAATTCTGTTGGCTGTTTTGATTAGCATGTAGTATTAGCTGTTTATAGAATGGTGTTTGATTAAATGATTGTTTATAATCAGCTGATGACTTGTTAAATGACTTTTAAGGACATCAATTCATTTTTATTTACAACCTACTTTTATGTAGTACTCCGTACATTTTATTAACGTTATTACTTATTAGTACAACTAGTTTTCTACATGCGCGTTGCGCAATTGAAAAAAATGCCCAATCATTTTCTTTTGAGAATATGTACATTAGATGTGGATTCGATATGATAACTTTTATTATTTAACACATTAACATTTATATCAATAAAAAATAGAGTCTTCCAAAAAAATAGAGTATTTAATATTTCTTCATCATATTGTCAAAAAAAAACTTCATCGTGAAAGAGTACCCAAAAATAAA